CCATCACTCCTCCCCGTTTCCCCCCCCTCGTTCCCGGGGAGAATATATCACCGGACACCGGGGCTTTTTGTTTTTATCCACAGAGGCCATTCCTCACGCAGCCACTCCCACGCGCGCCCCCCCACCCACGCGCGTGCACGCGCCCCCCCCTCCTTACCCTGCTCCGGAATGGACTTGGCCTCCCGGAGCGCGCACACCGACGCCAGCAGCAGCAAACGGGGGAAGAGGCCGGGCGCCATTATTGGGGGGTTTAGTCCTCCATCTTCCCCCCCCACCACCAACCACCGACGACTGGCCGATTCCTGCCCGCCAACAGAGAGCCTTTTCCAGGCAGCGGAGCCTGGCCTGAGCCGGGAGATGCGGAGCTCAGCGGAGGGCTGCGCCTTGTTTTTGTTGTCTGAGGAGGAAAGGAGGAGAAAAGAGGAGAGAGAAGGGGGGGGGCGCCCTCTGGTGGTCAGAGGAGGAAATACAGGCCGGGACTGGGAGGGGAGGGGAGGGTTATTTATCCTCTGAAATAACAGAAACAAACACAAACAAACACAAACAAACTCAAACAAACACAAACAAATACAAACAAACACAAACAATCACAAACAAAAAGAAAACAGGTTTTTGGAAGATGGATTGATTGATTGATTGATTGATTGATTAATTGATTAATTGATTAATTGATTAATTGATAATTGATTAATTGGTAATTGATTAATTGATAATTGATTAATTGATTAATTGATTAATTAATCGATTGGTTGATTGATTGATTGGTTGATTGATTGATTGCTTGCTTGCTTGCTTGCTTGATTGATTGATTGATTGATTGATTGATTGATTGATTGGTTGGTTTATTGATTGATTGATTGATTGATTGATTGATTGATTGATTGATTGATTGATTGATTGATTGATTGATTGATTGATTGGTTGGATGGATGGATGGATGGATGATGGATTGATTTATTTATTTATTGATTGATTGATGGATGGATGGATGGATGGATGGATGGATGGTAGGATGGATGAATGATGGATGAATTGATTGATTGCTTGATTGATTGATTGATTGATTGATTGATTGAT